GGTCAAACTCCAGGCTAACTAGTGACCTGTGGGGATGGGGGTGTGGGGAGGGCAGGGAGAGAAGGACAGAAGAAAGGAAGGTGCTTCTTCAGATAACACCCTCTTTTCGGCTGCTGATATTTGTGAAGTATGCCATAAGAGAAGCAGGAGCGCTTATATTGACTTTTACTCTACGGTTGATCTCAACATCATGCTATGGAAACCACTTCACATTATCCAGTTCAGGTAAAAGGCTTGTAAAAGACGTAGATACAGTATGGTGCTAAATACACGGTTTTGGCGTCAAAGAACGGGGGTTCAATTTCTGACGTTCTGATTTCTATGAACGCGAGCAAGTAAGTGACTTAACCTCTCTAGGCCTCTGTTTCCTTAACTATAAAACGGGGCTAGGAATAGTTGCTGGCTTATAGTGAGTACTAGACAAATGCCAGCTTCTGTTATTTTCACAGAAACAGAAGACTGAGTCCCACTTGAGCGTGCTTCTCCTTGAGTCCTGTCCAAGACACGAAAGGAACAAAAGTGGCATTGAGGTAAGAATCTAGGTCACATCAAACCCGTTTCTCTGCTGATTGGAAAAGAACATGAATCCAGACTGGGCTGTGTGGAAAGTGAATCCTATACAACTTTGAAAGGAAATGAAACTGTACATCCTGAGATGGAAAGATGTCCAAACCATATTAAATGAAAAAGCATGTTATAAAGCAGTATGATGACTGTAGGGACAAATGGTGATTAGTAACATAAATGATGACAATATGTCAGTATATATAAAAGAGCTAGAGAAATGTCCATCCAACAATAGATAATGATGTGGGGGCAATTAGGATTGTATGGGATATTCACTCTACATCTGTTATTTCTGTAATATTTTAATTTTATAATGAAGATTGTTAATTTTTAAATTAGAAAAATAAATGTTTAAAAAGAAAAAGCACATTATCTTATGACAGGTTTTAAATTTTACTATATACTGATCACCCTAAACTGGAGTAGGATATTCATAATGATGATAGATAAGCTAATGCAGGAAATGTTTCCCTATTCTCCTTTCAAAATGACATCACATTTTAGAACCTCTTGCATCATCCCATAAATCCTCCCATGACTGTTGAAGTGGGTATTTGTGGCTAAGACTTTGAGTGGTGCAGCCAGGTTTAAATCCTGGCTCCACATCTTAGTAACCATATGACCTTGGGCAAGATTCTTAATCTCTGTGCCTCAGTTAATTTATCTGTCAAATGGGTCTAATATTAGTACTTCAAAGGAGTGCTGTGAAGATGAACTGAGGTACTATATATAATATGCTTAGAACAGTGACCGGCATATAGTAAGCACTAAATACAAAGTTTCGCCATCATTATTTTAACCTTCATTTAGAGAAAACCATGGCTACAAATGATACATTTATCTTAAAACAAAACAAAACAAAAACCCCGAATCTTGACATTCATTCCCACTGCCACCTCTCTAACACCAGAATTTTATCACTTGCTCACAGATGATTGCTGTACCTTCCTACGCAGGCTTGTTGCCTCCGGCACCTCATGCTTCCAACTACCTCGCCTGGCACTGCTGCATTCAGCTCTTTTGAGCTTTTCCTTTATCTCTTACAGCTTGGCTTAAAGGGCTTCAGTAGTTTCCCATCATTAAAAGTTTAAATTTCAAACATTTTCATTTGTCCCTTCACGCACTGGCCTCATCCTGCCTTTCTTATATGTGACATAGTATTTCAAACACAGACCACACTGGTTCAGCCACGCTGGTCCACTCGCTGTTACCAATTCTGAGTCTTTGACTCAGGTGACTTCCCACAACCCTCCCCCACCCCCACCCCCTAATCCCATCCTCTCAGGATCCCAGTGAGTAGCACTGTATATAAGAAAGCTGCCTGAGCACTCAAATCCACATTGCCTGTATCTTGAATTCCGAGAGCATCTAACATCCTCATCCAAGCTCTCATCTGAGACTCCATTATAGCCACCGAGGCAGGTATCATACTCATATGTAAATTCAACAAGCATTTATTGCTCAGGCTTTGGAATTCTGAAAGGAGAAGAAGGCAAAGTCCCTGCCCTCATTGAGCTCATGTCCTATTAGAGGAGATAGAAAGTAAACTAACTGCTTGGCCATGGGTGGCCCTGTGCTTTGTCAGAGGCACATACACGGCTCAGCGGTGGTCCGAAGACAGAAGCAATCAGAAAGGCACGGCTCAAGGTTAAGGGCATGAAGTGTGTGACTCCTCTTTCTCTTCCAACCAAATTTGCCCTTCCTCAGGCTGATCAAAAACATGGAGCTGGATCTGAACTATTTTAAGATCCTGTCTTACTTAAGCTCCCAACATGACAGGCTTTGATTGGTTTCCCCTCCCCAGCATCAGCCCCCCCCCCTGTTTTTTTGGTGTGTATTTTACCTTTCCCTCTACTTAGTTCACCTCTATCTGCCTATGTATTTATTTAAGATGTGAACCAACTGGTCAGATACAATAATCTAATTCTGCATTTGGTTTGAGGCCAATGCATTGAGGGCATTCAATAAATAATGGTGCCCAGTATGCTTTCCCTAGGTAGCTCCTGGCTGCATATGTCTGAGATGAAGCTGGAATGCTAGGAGGCAAGCTCAAGAGATAGTGGTGAAGAGTGGTGGGGCTCTGGAGACCATGGAGGCAAATGTGCTCTGGCTGCCTGACCCAGAGATTATACCTGTGTTGGGTTTGCTACAGTGACACTCACAACAAGTAAGTGTTCCTCTCCTGGGTGGGTTAGGGTGCGACCTTCTCCCTGACATGGTTTTCCAGATTCAATCTGGGTAAGTACATGAAGGCTTCTTCCCTGTGGGCACACAGGCCTGTGTTTACTTGCCTTCATTAAAGAAATTCTCCTTCCTGTGAGTGGGTGGTTTGGGGAGGGGTGGGGCAGGAGTCTTGGATTGTATGAGCTCTCCCAGGAGAGTAAGAGCAGAGAGAAGACAGGGAGTCCTTAAAAAAAAATTTCACAGACAAGTGTGTCCACCTATCCATCAATCCATTCATTCATCTTATCTGCTTACCATGTCACAGGCAGTGAGGCAACAAAGGTGAATATTACAGGAGCTGGCTCATGGGAGATACTCAATAAATATTTACTGAATGAATGATTTTGAGTTTGTGCATTAGCTTTACTTTGATTATCGTTTCCTACTAGAGGACATTTTGTACTTTCTACATGACAGATAATATCTAGCATAGTTCAGCCCACAGATAACAGAGGCATCGCACACAGCCTGCATAAAAAGAATATTCCAGCATATTCCCTACCTTCTTGGAGTTAGATCCCAAATTTCTTCATTTGCAACCTTCTTCGCTACCGTCTTCTCCCAGTCTCCATTTATGTATCCACAGTTTGATCCGCTGTTTGGTTCCTCCTGGCTTCTGAATGATAATTGAAATACAGATTGCTTTCAGTCAACACTGGCAGTTTTAACTTAGCCTCTAGCTCTCTCTTCTAAGCTGTGTTGTCAGACAGTTAAGGGGCTGGAGAGAAATCAAGGGAGTTGGCTCCTGGTTCTAGTGAGATTACCTGGCTTTGGGGCAATTTGGCTTGGCCAGATGCATCTCCCATTCTCCATCTGTAGAATGGCAATGATGCCAATTGGCCATGAGATAGAGCAAGGATTGATGAGCTCATAGCTGGAAAGGATGATGTACTCAAGAACAAAGCAATATTATGAGGTGAAATTCTGATTTTATGGTCCATCAATACCAAGCCTCATACTGTTTCTGGCTTTTCTGCATCTGTGACTTTGGCACAGTCCTTCCAAGGAAGAGGTCTAAGTAATTAGCATGACTCGTCTTCTCAAGCACACACTCCCATGTATATTAATAGAATGGATTTGGCACAAATAAGAACACCCGGCTGTAGCTGGCTGCTAATCAAACACTGCCAGCAGGTGAGCATGAGAACACCTGGTTTGGAGAAGCACTTCTGAGGCAGGGGAGCATTTTTACAGTGTCACTCAAAGCTGGATTCAATTAAACTACACGTTTGAAAAGAAATCATGTTACAAAACGAGAAACTGATCTTTATGCTTAAGGGTGCAGAAACTGCAGAATATAGCCAAAAAAAAAAAAAAAGAAACCACAAACACACATACACAAAGATGCCAATAAATTATTTTCCCCCCCTATAGCTGCGGTTCTCAACCTGTGGGTCACA